CTCTAATGTGTATACATATCACCAAGTGGTAATTAGTTTCACGACTTACACTTCTTTGTTACGTGATTGCATCCAAACGGGTCGAGAATTCGGATATTTGCTTGCATGTAAATCGTTTCACCTGCCTTCAATTTTTCGTTTTCAGCTAAGTACAAATAGAGGGATAACTGTTTGCCTTTGGGAAACAATTTTATCATCCTACAATATAACAATATACTAATTGTTAAACACATAGTCGGTATATATGTTATTATTCCTGACACAAAATGGTATACAAAACTATGGATTACTAACCAAATTCCTTCCTCCCGCTAAAAAATTGTTTGATTGGTAGCAATGCTCTTTTAACTTTATGAATTTGGTGACCGTCCAAGAGAACTTGGGAATATAGAGGGTTTCTCAGCAATGGAGAAAACTTCCCAATTGTTCAAGGGAACCATCACATCAACACCAAACTCGCATTGATCTCCCTCGAAAACATATCCGCTTTTAGGATCATTGAATGTATCAAGCGGAAGCACTTGCGGAAATCCCCACACCGGTCTTAATGCATTGAACTGCTTCCCTTCAACATCTATATGTTACATATAATTGATCAACGAATTCACGAATATATATATAAAGAGAGAATGGGGTATGGAGGTAGGAACCTTGAATAGTAAAATATTTATTTTCTTTCTTGTTATAGACAAAGAAGGTGAGATATGCCAATACCGTTGACGCGGAGAGGCTTGTGCTATCTAATTCAACATACATTGAAATAAATCCGCTACCATTGTCTTTTTCGTTTCCTTTAGGATACACAACCAATCTCCTGATTCGAAGGAAGGACGACATTAGTGAATTTGTATAAATTTGGAATGTTTAATATAATAAATATAGTATCCAATTAGGGGACTTAATTAGTTACCAGTTGTAGTTGCCGGAAGCGAAAGTACGGGATTTGTATCTGTCTCTGTCTTCGGACAAGCAAGTCGTCTTGAGCTGAGAAAGGCTTTGGATCTTGATGGAATAGGTACAAGGAGGACGATCTCCAAACTTGTTGGTAATTGTAGAATCTGACACTACGCATGACTTCTCCGTTCTCCACATTATGTTGCAGCTAATTATGAGAGAAATTCAGAGAGACGATTATAACAACAAGGCAAAGATATGATCAAATCGTTGTTCATTATTCTATATATTAAGCGGAAAAATAATAATCCACACTATGAAAAAGGAGTTGCGAACCTCGTGGGATTTGTGTTTTTCCTAGTGGGATTGGGTTTTTGATTCGTTAACAGACCAAGTTAAAAGACATGTGATCGATCACAGTTTATAAACCCCTAAATTGATTTGGGGATATAGGTTTTTCTCTCTCGAATTGATCGTTTTCTCTCCCTCTCTAAACGCACATGTTAATTACATAACAGCCGTTTACTGTTCCGTCACTGTTCCGACACGTAGTTAACTGTTCCGACACTTTTTTGGTCGGTGCGAACACGAGAGCTAGTTTAGAAGTTTAAACTGTTAGTGTTCTGAGTTTGGAGGTTTAGAGTGCTAGTAAAACTCCATCAGGGTTTAAAGTGCTAGTATATCTGACTTTCAGGGTTAAAAATACGATTTTCCCGAAAACAATTTGTAGAGCAAGTTTATTTAAGACTAGATGAATGATCCGCATATATGCGGGTTTGTG